TAAAACATTAGACCTTCTATATATGTTTTTGACACATTGAAAGTAACCTAGCTAATAGGAAAACAAAAAAAAAACTGCAAAAAGATAAAGAAAAAGTGGCCATTTTAAACAATATGTTGTTACCTTGAAAACCCTAGGTTCAATGTCATTAACAAGTATGTGACCATCTTCATCCTTCTCCCTCCCATTAACAAACTCAGTTAGAAACAGTTTTGAGCGAGTAGCCAATACAAGCTTATGAGCACGAAACTTTTGTCCTCTAACTGAGAAAGTAATATCAGAAAATGCACCAGAATCTAACAGCATCCCGAACTGTTCCCTCATATCAGACTCAGGAACTAGTATTTTGTTTAACTTGGAAGAATCACTGCACGATGTCACCACAACACTAATAGTGCACTCAATCTTCAAGCAGTCATCCTTGAGAAAACCTGAAGCCTCAAGATCTTTCCGATTGCAGAACCGGTTATAACCCCTAACACACAAAACAAAACCACTGCATCATTATTCATCAATCCAAAATGCACTCCTTTGTAAACAGATAACACAGCTAACTCCAGATCCCATTAAAAAAATCACAGGATCTGATTAACACGTATTAGAAAATAGTTTTTAAGTCAAACTCAGCGTTACAAAATCGGTGTGTACGGTGAAGTTTGCACCTCACTTATATATTATAATTTGACCTTATTTTTAAGTCGTGAGACTTCCAATACACCTCTTCACGTCTAGATATAGACATCTGTGAGAGTAAAATTAATGGGTGGTTTGACAGTGACCCGACAACACGTGGAACATAATGTTCATATAGATCTCGCTAGGAAAGGCTCCGACAATAACTCTGATACTATATTAAAAAATGGTTTTTAAACCTAACTCAACCTTAAAAAACTAGATTGTAAAATGAGGTTTTCACCAACTAGCTTAGACGAAGGACTTCCAACAACATGCTAATTTCTTGTCTCAGATCTTAACTTGTATCTCTCTAAAGTTTGGTATATGTTTAGTTGCTACGAATAACATGCTTTTGAAAAGAAACACATTGGAATGAAAGAGAAAGAAGAGAAAAACAAACCACATGCTGCCACGGGTTTTGAAAACACAGGGTCCACATTCGAAGGAGTGATCGTAGTGGGTACCAGCATGGCGTTTTCGTTTTGGTGTCTGATCGAGCATGTTGATATGATAAAAGGTGGGAACATCAGTGGCGTTGGAATAGAGTGTGATGAAGAAAGAAACGTAAGAGGAGTTATCTTTGGAGTATTTGCCATCTGGGTAGAACTGTACGCCCCACTCGTACCCTCCAACGCTGAACTTCTTGCTCCCAATGCATTTTCCAATGCCCATTCCCTTTGTCAAAGAGTACCCTTTTATTTCAAACATGTGAGACCCTAACACTGTCTCTGTCACCGATTCAGAACTGCTCCATGAATTCACACTTCTCCTACGCCCTCCCGTCATCATCTTCCTATTTTTCCACCTCACTCTGCAAGATCTCTCACGCTCTTCTCATTCTCTTCACTTCAAATAAGTAATACCCACAAATTGTTAAGAGGGAGGAGATAATTAATGATTTTAAGATCAAATTTAATGATTTAATAGCAAACTTTAATGTTTTGTGTTCATTTCTATTCATTTTGAAAGAGATATTAATACGTATTAATCACCTTATTTATTAATTCATTTAATACTTTTTTTTCTTCGTCTTGTCCTTATTTGCTTGATTAATCTACACCGTTCAAATTTATATTTTGTTCTTATTTTTATAAACAATATAATAGATTAAAAAAACAAATTTCAATAAAATAGATTTAAACTCGTAACTATATTAAGGTAAGAAGTAAAATTTTTTTAATTCAAATCTAAATAAAAGGAAATGATATTAAATTAAATTTATCATCAATGAAATATAAGATTTAATTCACACAAAGATATCACAAAATTTTTTCAACAACATTTTTAATGGTTTCAGATTGATTCAATTTGTTTTTCCATAAAAATTAAGTTACAAAAAATATAGATTTGTGGATTTTTCATGTTGCTTACTTATTCTATACAAAAATAATTTCACGCAAGTCTATGTTTTAATATTTTGTAAAATAATTAACCTAACAAAAAGTACATGTTAGAAAAATTAGGTGGGTTGGTGAGCTATCCCAACTCACCACGGATTCAACCTGGATGAAATGGGTTCTGAGTGAGCTGAGTTCAAAATTGATCCGTATCAAAATTTTAATTTTTTTTAACCTAATCCGATCTGAACCCACAGTAAACTAAGTTGACTCACGAATTTCAACTCATTTTCACAACATTATTTTATCCAATCACTATTAGAATATCCTTCTTGAAACTGAAAATTTTGAGAGTGTGTGAACTCAATACCATAATTTTGTTGTTCTCTTAAAATATCTCACACTCCGTTTGACAGCTTTAAATTGGACCTCATTATCAGAGTGCATAAAATTTTGAAAAAAAAATGCTTAGTTAAAACATTATATTGATCAATTGTACTTCTATAATAATATTCATCGACCTTATTGGCTTCACAGTCTTTACTGAATTTTTCTTTATGTTTATTGGTGTATGAATGCTTTTGCAATTCTCCGTGCATAACTTCTTTAGTATTTCTTTTGCATGTTTTTCTTTTTTTACATAAAAATACCTTATTCTACACATCACTTATAATGAATAAGAGATGTTATTATGTTGTTTAGAATTGTCAAAACGGACCCGACTCGACCCATTATGAATTAGTCACTTAATGAACCACTCCAACTTGACTCACTTATTAGTGAGTCAAAAAAATTTCAATTCGGTCTGATTCACCACGGGTTAGTGAGTTAAACGGGTTAGTTCACCAAGTCCTTTAATCACAAGTTTGTCTTTTTATATTAAAAAAATAACAAAAATTTTCTAATTCAAATCCAAATAAAGTGAAAGAGTCTTAAATTAGATTTATGATCAAACAAACGTAGGATTTCATTCACACAAAGTTATCACAAAATCTCATCAATAAAATTTTTAATGGCTTCATAGTGATTCAAATTTGTTTATGCATAAAAACTGAGTTACTAAGTATAAATTTGTAAATTTTTCTTGTCTAATTATTTTATACAAAAATAATTTCGCATGAGTATCCGTTTCAATATTTTGTAAAATAACTAACCCAATAAAAAGTACTTATTAGAAACATTACCACGTGTTCAAAATTGATCTGTATTATAATTTAATTTTTTTAATCCAAACTAACTCGAACCCGTAGTGAGTCAGGTTAATTTACGGACTCTAACCCATTTTGACAATCTTAATGTTATTATTTATATAATAATTTTAAGTTATTGAACATGTTTCCATAAAAACAATAAAAGTTATTTGTAATTTTCAATAATTATAAAATCTCACATTGCACCGTTGAGGAAAATGATTGAATAAGACAACAACCACATTATTTATTTAACTGAAAAATTAAAGGAGAGGCTCAGTTGAAAAATAGAAAAGATTAAGTATTTAATAAAGAAGAAAATTAATAAAAATGTAATTAAAAATACTTATGAATTATTTAATACTCAATTAAGCAATTAATTATTAATCTCATTTTTCCTATTTTATTACGGTTAAAGAGAGATACACTTCTCAAAAAGTATACAAAACCTCTTTTTCGCCTTCTACAGATTAGAAATGGACATGAAATAAGAAAATTTTCTATAAGAAAAACACTAAAATGAGACAGAAAAATGATTGATTACTTTGTTGAGCTTTGAATTGCTTGGATTCCCTCAGAGGTTAGAGTTGCCACACTTCCAAATAGTTCCTAGTTGAACAATTAGTGATAAAAGTAAAATTAATTATTGCCACCAATTGTTAGCATGTATTTTAAACTTTTGTGTTATGTTCCCACATTTTCAAATAATTCTTATTCTTATTAACAAACTTTAAGTTATGACTCTTCTTTTAATGGACATATTTTATTACCATTGTTGAAAAGTTTCATGTTAGACTAATCTAGTTTGACTAGTGCAACGATTTCATCATGAATTTAGCTTATTAAAAGTAATATCAATTAATTATGTATTATGAATTTGAATTTTGAGCAAACTTATATAACTTAATCGTGTAATTTACTTTGTTATTAATTTTCATGGCTATTTTAATACTTAGCAAATACATGAGTATTAATATACTATTTTTAAAAATGAATTTTAAAATGATAAAAGTTAGAAGAAACACTTAAAATACTACTTTTAAAAAATATGTGTGGTCATGAAATACTACTTAATCTTCATTTTTATTTTTCTTGGGTATGAAATTTATGATTTATTATATATATATATAATACGTTTTTAGACCTGCATAATATTTTAAATTCTTAATAAATATACATATTCAGTAAAGTACTTTTATAAAATTTAATTTTTATACATTTTTTGACAATCAACTAACTAGAAATCATAATAGATTAAATAATGAGAAAAGAGGGTGAAAAATAAAAATAAAAGTTAAACTTAATGTTCTTTAAATATAATTCTCTTCTATGAAAAACTGACATTGAACAATAACATCTATTAATTCCATAAATATAGAATAAACGTTTGCCTAAATTTCAAAATCATTCATAACATGAAATGAATTTAATTATTAGTAATTGTTTAAATCATAAATGGCATTTATTATTAAGAATTAAATCTAGCATAACGTATCTAATGCATTTAGTTATTTATTGATTGTATTAACTGAAACGGGTGAGTTATATATGTTATATATTTCCTACAATGTAATTCCTTCACAATCAAAATTTGTTTATTTATACAATTAAGTAAGACAGTTATGTATTATACTTTATTTCAGTTTTTATAACTCTTATGTATATTTATGAATTATTGTATTTATCTATGGTTAAATATGTTTTAGTTTCTAAATTTTAATATAAGATTTTTTTTTCAAATTTTGATATAATTTTATATATTTTACATGTTAAATAATGTTTCAGATTATCATTTGATTTATTTATACTATTTCAGTTCAAATATTAGTTAAAATATTATTTAACACATAAAACAACTAGTCTATCTTCAGATTAAATAAATTATATTTCTTCATTTTAAAAGTTTGGAAATTAAGTTTAGAAGGAATTCTTATCCAAGTTTAAGGACAACAAACATATTTAAAATTTCCTTCTATTATATTACTACGAACTTTTCATTTTCTTTATTCTAATTAAATTTAAAAGTATGATAGAAAAAATGTTATCTTAAAATTTTTAAAATGAAAAAAATAGCATTCTTTAAAGAACTGGCAATTATTTACTTAATAATAAATTATACCAAATTTTAGGAAATTTGAACACAAATATTTTTATGAACTGCGAAAATTTATTTTGAAAATAAAAACGAGATTAGTCTCACACCAAAAAATAAAAATAACCTAAACTATTGAAACACAGAATGTTATAACAAATATTAATTAGTAATAATGACAAAATAAATTTTAACATATCCCACAAGCGGGTTGGGACGAACATATCTTCCAACAGACAGAAAAATCCTAACACCCCATGTGAAAATAGGACTAGGTTGCGATTGACGCATACATACATATATATATATATATAATATATATTATAATATATATATATATATATATACTATATATATACATATAATATATATACATATATATATATATATATATATATATAATGTTTTTTTAAACTATAATTAATTAATCATGCAAATATTTAATAAGTTTTAATAATATATTTAATTAAATAAATTGAATTAATTATTGTTTTACCTATTATATAAATTAATAATTAAAATTTAGTTTATAAATATTTATATTTAAAATATATCACTTACGGATAATATAATTTATTTTATTTTCATTTTAATAAATTAATAGACTATAGGACTGCTTATTTTATTTTTCTATTAAATTATTTATTAGTAAATTAAAGATTAGAATAATCAAATGAAATAACAGTGACAATTGTGTTGGTTGTGTTAGTTGTGTTGGTTGAACCGAGTTGTATGAGTTATGTTTTTGTCTGAGTTAGTCGAGTTAGCCTGTATACAAGGCAACTGAAAACCTTGGACGAGCTGTAGAATAAAGAAGTTGAGTTTATGCATATAGAAGAGATGCGCACCTCTCAAAAAAGGCAGCAGGAGGACGTTGCAGCCTCATTTTGTTGGAGAAGTGACAAAGGGGAGGATCGAAACCAAAAGATCTTGCTCAGGCGCCCAAATTCAACCAATACACGCCTTTGAACGCTCAAAGAGCTAGAATTATAGAAGAAGCGTTAAGCACTGACCTCCTTCCCCCTCTCAAGAAGAAGCCAACCCTTACGGTAAGAAACATTATCTGTATCATCATAACCTCAAGCACACAATTGAGGAATGCTCCACACTCTGAGACAAGATAGAAGCTCATCAAGGTAGGGCACTTGCAGAAGTATGCTAAGTCAG